CCCAAAATCAGTATCTCAGAAAATTAGAATATTGTGAAAAGGTTCAATATTGAAGACACCTGGTGCCACACTCTAATCAGCTAATTAACTCAAAACACCTGCAAAGGCCTTTAAATGGTCTCTCAGTCTAGTTCTGTAGGCTACACAATCATGGGGAAGACTGCTGACTTGACAGCTGTCCAAAAGACGACCATTGACACCTTGCACAAGGAGGGCAAGACACAAAAGGTCATTGCTAAAGAGGCTGGCTGTTCACAGAGCTCTGTGTCCAAGCACATTAATAGAGAGGCGAAGGGAAGGAAAAGATGTGGTAGAAAAAAGTGTACAAGCAATAGGGATAACCGCACCCTGGAGAGGATTGTGAAACAAAACCCATTCAAAAATGTGGGGGAGATTCACAAAGAGTGGACTGCAGCTGGAGTCAGTGCTTCAAGAACCACCACGCACAGACGTATGCAAGACATGGGTTTCTGCTGTCGCATTCCTTGTGTCAAGCCACTCTTTGAACAAGACACGGCGTCAGAAGCGTCTCGCCTGGGCTAAAGACAAAAAAGACTGGACTACTGCTGAGTGGTCCAAAGTTATCTTCTCTGATCATAAATCAAGGTTCCAGATTCTGGAGGAAGAGAGGAGAAGCACAAAATCCACGTTGCTTGAAGTCCAGTGTAAAGTTTCCACAGTCAGTGATGGTTTGGGTGCCATGTCATCTGCTGGTGTTGGTCCACTGGTCTGAGGTCCAAGGTCAACTCAGCCGTCTACCAGGAAGTTTTAGAGCACTTCATGCTTCCTGCTGCTGACCAACTTTATGGAGATGCAGATTTCATTTTCCAACAGGACTTGGCACCTGCACACAGTGCCAAAGCTACCAGTACCTGGTTTAAGGACCATGGTATCCCTGTTCTTAATTGGCCAGCAAACTCACCTGACCTTAACCCTATAGAAAATCTATGGAGTATTGTGAAGAGGAAGATGCGATATGCCAGACCCAACAATGCAGAAGAGCTGAAGGCCACTATCAGAGCAACCTGGGCCCTCATAACACCTGAGCAGTGCCACAGACTGATGGACTCCATGCCACGCCGCATTGCTGCAGTAATTCAGGCAAAAGGAGCCCCAACTAAGTATTGAGTGCTGTACATGCTCATACTTTTCATGTTCATACTTTTCAGTTGGCCAACATTTCTAAAAATCCTTTTTTGTATTGGTCTTAAGTAATATTCTAATTTTCGGAGATACTGAATTTGGGATTTTCATTACTTGTCAGTTTAAATCCTCACAATTAAATGAAATAAACATTTGAAATATATCAGTCTGTGTGTAATGAATGAATTTAATATTCAAGTTTCACTTTGAAAGAAATTACTGAAGTAAATCAACTTTTTGATGATATTCTAATTATATGACCAGCACCTGTATATTGAACCGATTTCAACATGTAAATGCTCCGTATTTGTATAGCGCCTTTCTACCTTCTTTCGACCACTCAAAGCGCTTTTACACTACATCTGCATTCACCATTCACACACATTTATACACTGGTGGAACAGCCAGGACACTTCGACATGCAGTCTCAAGGAGCCAGGGATTGAACCTCCGCCCTTTCTGATTAACAGGCAACCCGCTCTACCCCCTGAGCCACAGCCACCCAACATGGTTTCATTCTCTGGGAGCAACACAACTGGACACACACATACCTTTTTATATACAGTCTATGACACACACACACACACAAACACACAAACACACACACACACACACACACACACACACACACACAGAGGAATGAACTTCTCACCTCGGATCGAGCACTGTAGCAAAGGCAGTGTTTCCCACAGGATTTTAAGAGACTATGGTGGGTGGGCCTTGAACCCTCTCACCGGGGCGTCTGGGGGCATGCCGCCCCCGTAAGAAAATTATTTACATTTTAAAGTTTAAATGTATTAATTTGGTGCAAAATTAAGAGGCTATCTATGAAGAGCTTGGTACGCTTGTAAACAATGTTGTGCTCAAATAAACTATTTGATCATAAACCCATTGTAGAGCTATAAATGGTGATGAAACAGCAACAAAAGTCAAATATATTTAATGTTTTCCCAAAAACCCTGAATCAAAGACGGAAGTAATTTCCCTAACATTTTATTGTTGTGTTTTTTACTTTTATTGGACACATGTAATATGTTTTATATTTTCTGTGAATATAATCCTTTTTATATCCAGTCTATGATATAATCCAAGTAATCTTATTTCCATGCTGTATAGACACCTTATTTTGAAAACCGGTCCTTCTGTGTATCCTCGCGCTAAATTCAAGTCCAACCAGAGTCCGAACTTGATAAATAATGTTGTATGTGGTTCTCGTATCGCGTAACATAAAGACTTCACAGCCTCTCTTCAGGTAGGACTCTCATACTGCAACACGTGTCTTTGTAAAGAGACAAACTGACAGGATAAAGTCGCTAACCTGTCAGCTCGCACTGGTCCGTTACTGTGGATTTACCATAAAGGCTTAAATACGTGTGCACTCCAAATTTAGGCGGGCTAGCTTAATTGAGTGACAGAAACAGGCTGTTAACGTTACCGTAGTTACCTCAAAAGAAAAGTGGCTGTCTCGATTAACATCAACTTGTATGCCATTTTAGATGCGTGTAGAAAAAATTCTCACGAGTAGTATCTCGTGAGTAGTCATCTGATCGGCCTTTATGGAGACCACAGCTCAAACTATTATAAGCCTTTAATCGATCGAAGCACCCCTATTTAACACTGCATTTATCACACAGGTGAAGATCAATCATTGAACTGAACATATGATACCACTTATATTCACTGTAAATTATATTCTGTTCTGTATATAAACTGTTATGTTTGTGTGTGTTGTTTTAATGGTTTATTGTATCTGTGTCCAGTTCTTCTGGTTTTCCTGTGCTGGAACTATGGATCAGTCAGTGTCTGTCTGTTGGTCAGGTTTAGGGTGTAGCTTTGAGGCTTATTTTAAGTTGAGAGATGAAACATCTGCCTTAAGCTTCCTTAGCTCCTCATAAAAGCAGCTTCTTGTTTCATAGTGAATAAATTCTTGCTACGGCAATTGCGTTTGAAAAAAAACACAAGCTTCACAACATCAAGGACTGATGGCTTTTCTGCAGAACTTTGAGATGGATTTGGTGAACGTGCTTGGAGGAAAACATTAAAGTTTAAAACTTGTCAATTCTTGGTGCTAGTAAGTGCTGCTATGACTATTGGCATGTAGATGTCTTCAGGGCGGAACTCTTGTCACACATTTGAAGCATGGGAAGGATTTGACCATGTCTAGTACATTTACATGCCATTTCCCTTTATAAGGCAAAACATCAAAATTCAATGCCACACCATGGCCATGTTGTTTGAGCAATCAAAAAGAAATCTCAACAATTTAACATCGCAAGACTCTTAAGGTTGTGCTGCCCACATTTGAAGTCGATCGGATTAAAGCTGTAGGAGGAGTTTGTTAGAGTACGGAGAGTGTACAGGAAAAAATTTGTAAAGAATTAAAAATGGCTTACTTCCTGTTGGGTTTAGGGTATGGCTCCAAGAGACTTATTTTTAAGTTAGATATAATACATCGGTCTATCACGTTTCATACTGCTAGGTAAAACGTACGTCAGGGGCTGCTTTGTTCAAATTTAGTGGGGGTCGCTATTGAGCCAGTTTTCCCCCTCGTCATGGGGTATGTGCGGTGAGGCAGGAGGTTGGTGGACCCAAATGCAGAGACGGGAACAGGCAGGTACAGTTCAAAAGATTTAATCAAACACCAAGCGAGATCAGTTACAAAGGTAGTGGCTGAGTCCAGGGAATCCAAAACAAACAGTCCAAACAAAAAGTAATCCAACAGAAAATCCAGAGAAACGAGAAATCCAAAACTGCAGGAACAACAGGGTACAACGAGGAAAAACCACAACAGAAGACAGAGCATCTGAACACAACAGACAGGGGGGTAACACGAACAATGACCGGATGAAGACTGAAGAGAAACACCAAACACATATACACCTGGGACATGCAGAGGGATTACTGAGGTAACAGACACAACACAGGTTACTGAACACTAAACACAGGCCATATCACAAGAAGTAACAGATCAGAAATAAACAAAATAACTCGGACACGAGCAGACTAAACTAAAATAATGCAGACAAGGTTCCTGAAGTAAATACCAACTCATGAACCAAGGCACAGGACTGGGAACAAAGACAAAGAACTAAAACGCAGGACCAAGAGCTAAGATAAAAGATAAGACATAAACTACTAAGGACAAGGAACTAGAGAAACAGGCAAATAGGACACATGAAACAATGGCAATAACTCAGAAACCCACAGGGAAAAAATACAACTCATAACCCCCCCCCCGGCAATATCAGACAAAAAAATACACCCCTTCTGAAATATGTGCCAAGTTTTGTGATTTTTCAAAAACTTCAAAAAAAATAACCCCCCACACCCCTACGCGCCTTGAAAATGACTGCTGTCAAGTGCTTCCTGTAGACTTCAGTGAGCTTCCTACACCTCTCTACTGGCAGTTTGGCCCAGTCTTCTTTTGCAAACTGCTCCATTTCCTTCAGATTTGAAAGATGCCTTCTTCTTTATGCTGTTTTTTAAGGGATTTGGATCTGGACTCATTGCTGGCCACTTTAAAACATTCCAGCATTTCCTTGAACCATTCCTGGGTTATGTGTGTTTTGTGTCTTTGTCCTTGCCATGACCTACAACAGAGAAACAGATTTGTGACACTGGGTGGAACACGGCACTACAAAATACTTTGGTAATCTCCTGATCTATGATGATGATGCCACGCACAGATTTAAGTAGTTCACCCAGTGCCAGAGGCAGTAAAGCAACCCCCCAAACCTCCTCCATGTTTGACTGTTGGTACAGTTTTATTTTCTTTGAATGCTCATGCTTTGAATCATGTTTTATGAAGTTTATGTGCTTTACCAAAAAGCTCTAATTCTGATCTCATCTGTTCACAGGATGTTCTCCCAGAAAGATTATGACTTGTTCAGGTGTGTTTGGGCAAACTTCAGATTTTTCTTCTTCTGTTGTTGTCTGTTGAGCTCATTCCAAGGAAGAACCTGGCCTCTGCAGAGGTGGCTGCTGAGTGCCTCAAGTAAGCAGCCCAGATTGACGCTGGAGCTCCCAGCTAGCTAATTACATGGTGGAATGTTAAAACCTCTTAACAGTCTTAACAACTGACTTAATGTCAACAGTAATAATGAGGAGGAGGAGGAGGAGGATAAAGGCAAGTCAAAGCAGGTTCATTTGTATAGCTCAAACAACAAAGCAATTCAATGTGCTTTACACAAAACATAAAGCAACACAGGGCAGTATAAAATCCATTTCCATACAAAAAAAAAAAGAATTAAACAGAAAATATAAACGTGATAAAACACAGAGTAAAAGTTGCAGTGTAAGATATCAATGAAAAGCCTCAAATTTCATTTAAAAGAAGACAGTGGTAAAAAGACAAATCTTCAGCCTTGATTTAAAAGAACTGAGAGTTGCAGCAGACCTGCAGTTTATGTGAGTTTTTTCCAGATAAATGGTGCATAAAAACTGAATGCTGCTTCTCCATATTTAATTTTGACTCTGGAGACAGAACACAGACCTGTCCCAGACTACCTGAGAGCAGAAGATCAGAAAGGAGGGACAGAAAACCAAAACCTACCAAGCACACAGCAGTCATCCCAATAAGGCAAAAATATACCAGGGGGGTGGTGACATAAACCTAACATCAATAATATTTTAAATAAACACATAAACATATCATTTTCCCAACTTTGACCACACTGTAGTTGTCATGCACAGAAAATGTAGAAAGAATATATAAAAGGGTGGCATTAAACGAAATCCAGAGCTTGCAAAATTCTCATATGCGTGAGAAATGTGATGAAGGTAGTTGTCTGAACTATAATGAAAAGACTTAAACACCTCATTAATCACTGAAGGAAGTTGGCATGGTTGTTGGCTAGTTTGTTTCAGAAAGTTACACTCTCCCCCCTATGCTGCGGACAAACTGACCCAGAGACTTTTACTACCCTAGTAAGCGCTTCTCTCTCCGTCTTTCTCCTCCCGTGGGCTGGGGGTGCCGGTGCTGTTGTAGGATTAACTACATGTTACAGTTCAGTTGATTTTTTGTACTGTTTTCTATTCTTCGTATTGCAGACACAGTTTCATTGTACTGCTTACATCCTATACTGTGTTCATTAACTAGGATGTTGATGGAATCAGTACAGTCACAGACCCCTAGTGTTCTAGTTCCAGTGCTGTGAGGAAGGATGCTACTGTAGGCCTAACAGAGACAGGGAATTGTGGTACAGTTGGAAAAGAGGGAGTGACAATGTGTTGTTCTGTCCTAATCATATGCCCCATGGCTAACCCTGCAATTCACTGATGCTCTTCAAAGTGGGGTATTGTTTTAGTCTGAGAACATGTTTTCAAACATGACTGCCCCATCAAAAATCTGCTTCAGTTGAACTGAACTGATTTTCTAAAGATACACACACATGAATACTAGCATGTGTAAAATCAAATCAGTCACAGCAGTATTTGCCCCTGTGTTACTTTTACCTCTAGTGTAGTGTTTCTAACTTTGGTCCTGTCTGCCTGTCTGTTTGTGGTAGGGAAGAAGAAGGAGAAGATGTCAAAAGTTGATGAGGAGGGTCGTGGGAAGAGAAACACCATTCGCCTGCATGAAACATATACTGTGGAGACAGTGGTGGTGGCAGACTCCGACATGGTGCAGTACCACGGTGCCGAGGCTGCACAGAGGTTCCTGCTGACTGTCATGAACATGGTGAGAATTACAGAAACAAATACAGTGTGTCCTCTGAAACCCCTTATATAATCAAATGTAAAAATTGGTTTTATGTAAAGGATTGGTACACTTTAAACATGCAATCAACAAACAAGCATATTCAGCAGTTTTATTGAAAACATGATTACTCACTTTTACAATTATATTTTTCTAAACTCTGGGTGACAATAATGTTAAGCTTCAAGTAACAGTGTGCTGATCAACATTCCTGAAGCTGAGAAACAAATTTAAATGTCAAAAGTGTGTAGAATGAAGACATGTAAACCTAAATACTGTCTTTATATGGGTGAATTTTCTGATGTCAACACAATTTAAAATGGCGAGCTTGTTGAAGAAATGAATTATAGTGGGGTGTAATGTCCACACAACCCCTATTACAGCAGCACATAGCAGCAGAACAGTACAGGAGAGCCTTCCAGCTTTCGCTCCGGGTCTGGAGGCCAGAACAGGGAGAAAGGAGAGACATGCACAGCAAGAAGCTGGGCAGGACAGAGAAAAATCTATGGGGGTAAAATTATGCCAAAATGATTGAAAATGGACAGACTCTGAGTCATAAATGGAAATTACAACTTGTAAACACAAAACACAATCTACAAATATATTCCAAATCAGCAAACAAACTCTTCATGATCTGCAACTGTAAAACACAATCTACAAAAAGATTAGAAATTTACAAATAAACACATCATGACAAATAGAAATAGGTGACTTGTACTTGAAAACCAGAATTTGAATGAATACAAAGTGAGTTGTCTGCAGATAAGGGTCATATTCTTTTTGTAGATTGTGTTGCTTTTTTTTTTCCAGAATTTTGACACTGTTTCGCTGTAGTGACAAAACAATGCCATAATCATTGAAAATTAGACTTAGATTAGAGACTATGCGTCAGAATGCCTATTACAATTTGTAAACACAAAATACCATCTACAAATAGGTTTAAAATGGATAAACAAACTTCTCATGGTCCACAAATGTATAATACGATCTGCAAATAGATAAAAAATCTGCAAACAAACTTCTCATGATCTACAAATATAAAAGGCAATCTACAAATAGTATCAAAATCTGCAAACAAACTCTTTACGATGCACAAATAGAATCAGTGACTTTTTCTTGACAACCAGAATTTGAATGAATGCAAAGTGATTTGTTTGTGCATGAGGGTCATATTATATTTGTAGATTGTGTCACATTTGTTTTCAGAAATTTGGGTACTACAGTTTTGCTTTTTTTACCATAAAAGATTCTTCAAATGCATCCTCACAATTTGCAAACAAACACAGTCAAACCTGTATTTTCAAATCACTGTATTAAGACATTCTTACACATTCTGTGCAATGCTTAGCATCCAAGTGTTGAATCTGTGTTTGCAGATCTCTTTGCATTTGTCAACAGATGCGTTGGAAAAGTCTTTTTTTTGACTCTTTCCCACACACTGATTTATTTGTGGCCGCCTGCCACATTATCAACGCTTATTTTCCATTGATTTTGTTACTATTTAAAATGGGTAAAATCGTATTTGATGACAGAGCTCCGTGCAGTGCATGTATTCTCTCAGCATCTCCTCTTGCCCGTCGCGCGCTCTCTCTCTCTCTCTCTCTCTCTCTCTCTCTCTTTTTCTCTCTCTCTCTCTCGGCACAGTTACACTGTCATTCTGTGGGAAACACTGTATTTCCATATAATTGGGATTCATGTTGATAAATACGGTGGGCAGGAGGGTGAGTGTGAGCAAGTTTTCTCAATGTGACAACCCTGTCCATTATTTAGTGACTGGTACGCTACCTTATCTGCCTTTTTGCTATCTTGGTTATGAAGTAATATACAGTATTCCACCGTGTTGTCCACCTTCAGATGGTTCGCATTACAACAACATGGGGCGCAGTGTCAAAGATGCGCTTTTCGTAGTCCATCTTCCGAACATTGTAGTTTCATCACAGCAGGTCACAGTAGTAAAATCCGCCGTCACATAATTACGTCACTTAGAAAAGAGCAGCTGGATTCCTTACGGATTCTCCTTCACATCTTTCCTTGATGTCATGACGTTTTCCATCGAGGTCAAGGAAAGGTGGTTAGGAAAGGAGATTTTTTTGACTTGGATGCAGCCATAGTTTTGGCGCTATCTTTCAAGTTTATGACTATGATCCACAGATGTAGTCAGCCAATCAGGGGTATTGTTTCTACGTGATGTCACGTCCCCTCAGTAAGCCCTTTACAAAATAAGAGCTGACACTTCTCAGTTGGATCGGCCCACCGCCAGTTCTCCGGTGCAGCCGTAACAGCGGCAAGAGGCAGACACATCCTCCACAGACAGATTGTTGGCAGCACTGGTGAAGGACAGACACTCAAGTTGAGTTCTCAGGTAAGCGGCCACTCGACTACAGCTATTTTGCTGAACAGACAGTAAAAAATGCAGCCTGTTTTCAGCTTTGACATGATGCATTTTCCAGCTGATCCAGAGCCCATAAAGGAACTCTTAATCCTTCAGTAAATCATAAACATTCAAAATTATCAGTACAGGAGTGCATGGTTTTCACATGTTGAGATATATATACACACGTGTGTGTGTGTGTGTGTGTGTGTGTGTGTGTGTGTGTGTATGTATGTATGTATGTGTATATATATATATATGTATGTATATATATACACATACATACGGGACAGGCCTTTAATTCCTTTTGCAGTTTATTTATTTCAAACAGAATAATACTCTTTAAAAATGATCAACTAATATCAAATACACGTCATTCATTTGATGTAGCTCCGACAGACTGCTTATGCGCTTCTATTTTGAAGGCAGCAACATCACGAAACAATGCGGTGCAGGATGAGAGAAGTGTGGCAGAAGTTAGCAGACAGAGAGCGATGGACTTCACATGACAGGATTCCCAACTTGGAACTGTTTTGATTCTTGTGATCGGTGGACCCTTACAGTCTAAAGGAAGATAAATAATCAAGGACGGACACATTCTGACTTAAACAGCGCTTCAAAGGTAACGGGAGTCAGCACTTTTTTCTTTTCATCGTCATACCATGCAGGTTACACCAGTATATCTTTAAGAATTAGACTTTGGGGCTTGTTGTTTCCGTTAGATGAACTGAACGACTGAATTGTGGAGAATAACTGATCTAATGATGTGTAGCATGTTCATACTGACACATTGATAGACATTAATATTTGTATTAATGATCTAAGCAGAAGCAGCTAAAGCGGGCGACTGAACATAGACTGTTCTGCTGCTCCCTGATAAAAGAATAATGTTTCTGCTGATACCTGTTCAGAAAAAAACCCAAGACAACTGGACTCTGATGGTAACTTGTTTTAACAAGCTAGATAAAAGGGAATGCCCTGGCAGTTGGCAAATAGCTTAGGGTTAATATTTGATTTGATTAGGCCTACATAAATGTTTAATATTTTATTGCTACTGTTTAAAGCCAATACTGCTTGTAAAAACACCTTATTTGTTTAAAGTGTTTGCAAACCACATACTATTGCACTTTTGTGTACATAGCAGGACATTTAAATAAAATGTGTGTAATACACTACTTTAGAATTCATTATTTAATTTTGCACACAACTATGTGATTAATCGCAAGAAACTTTCTCTGGCTTGTCTCCTGCTGTGCTATTCTCTTAAGTGCCCTGGTGCCCTTCACTCAGATAAAGTACGCGTCACCTGCTGGACAAATGTACACTACACTAAGTGTGACACTCGTGTGGTATGTATCTTGAGGAAGTAGGCTACAGTACTCTTGCAAAAAGCACATACATATGAAATACATAGGGCTGAGTTCAGCTGCCAGTGTGTGTTGAGAGTGCCAGAGCAGATGGGGCAAAACAACGGGTAGAAACGCAGTGATAGTTGAGGGAAAAGACTGTTTTCCCTTTAACTTTCCATAACTTAACATGAGATCTGCTTCATTAATCCAGTTCAGGCAGATGGCCGCCCACCCTGAGCCATTGTTCTGGTTGAGGTTTCTGTCTATTAAAAGGAAGTTTTTCCTTGCCTCTGTCGTCAAGTGCTTGCTCATAGTGGGAAATGTTGGGTCTCTGAACATATTATCACAGTGCGGTCTAGACCTGCTCTGCATGTTGTTGTGCTTGGCATATTTATCCTTAAAATAAATAAATAAATGTTATGAAGAGACACTCGTTTAAAGTTCATAACAAATTTTATAACAAACTGAAAAGTTCTTAAAAGAACTCCAGCACAGAGAAAGGAGCAAACAAACACAACCACAGCAGTTTGGCAGGTCTGGACACAGACGGGTACCTCTGGTCCAGATTCTGCAGACAGAGGAGAAAAAGACAAAAGACTGTTTGTTTTGGAGAGGAAATTCGGCTGCCGGTAGAAACCTCCTGAACGGTCAATACCAAAGGAATCCTGAACTAAAACCACACTGAGCACCTAAACCCTAAACTGATCTAACGTTGCAGCAGCTCAGCTGGTTGCTAGCTATGTTATGTCGGACATAGATTAAGCATTATCATGGAAAAAAGAAAACAGTCACATACAGGCAGGGTAACGAATGACTAAAATTAACCAGCTGAATTGCAAGCCAGTGACAGCGTGAGAATGAGGAGTTGTTCTAGCTAAGGCTCTGTTCAGTTTGTCATTACGCATTTGCCACGCTATAATGTTAAATAAATGCTAGGGGGCACAGAGCGAACTTTCTTTTGTTGTTGTTGGCACAGATTGGTGCAACAACTGTTAGCTATCTAGCTACCTGTATGTGCTGTTGTTAATATGCTGTAAACGCATTTTTGGTTATAGCTAGCAATAGATTCAACGCTTGTGTTGACACACTGAGTAATACACAGAATGTGTAAGTGTAATGTCTTAATACAGTGATTTAAAAAAAAAAACAGGTTTGACTGTGTTTGTTTGTAAATTGTGAGGGCATTTGTTGAAGGTTTAATAGGAACAGCAAAACAGTAGTGCCCTAATTTCTTAAAACAAATGCAACACAATCTACAAACATAAAATGACCCTCATGCGCAGACAAATCCCTTTGCATTCATTCAAATTCTGGTTGTCAAGTATAAGTCACTGATTTCTATTTGTGCATCGTAACAAGTTTGTCTGCGGATTCTGATTCTATTTGCAGATTGTGCTTTATATTTGTAGATCATGAGTAGTTTGTTTGTGTATTTTTAATCTATTTGTAGATCGTGTTTTACATTTGCGGATTGTGAAAAGTTTTTTTTGCACATTTTGAATCTATTTGTAAATTGTGTTTTCAATATCCATTTGTGACTCCATTTTGAATCATTTTGGCATAATTTTAGCCCCATATAAGCTCTCTGTTATTTTTTATCTATTGACAACTATTAATATTTCTTAGTGCTGCAACTTATGTGTTTATTACTGATCAAAGTCATATTTCTCTCAAATATTGTTCAAAAATCTGTGTTAGTGAGCCCTTCTCCTTTGCCGAGATAATCCATCCACCTCACAGGTGTGGCATATCAAGATGTTGATCAGACAGCATAGGTATTGCACAGGTGTGCCTTAGTCTGGCCACAATAAAAGGCCATTCGAAAATGTTTCACTGTATTGAGGAAGGGGTCCGGAAACCAGTCAGTATCTGCTGTGACCACCATTTGCCTCACTTAATGCAACACATCTCCTTCGCATATATCTGATCAGGTTGTTGATTGTGGCCTGTGGAATGTTGGTCCACTTCTCTTCAATGGCTGTGCAAAGTTGCAGTCAGGTCGAGACCCCGATGAGGACGACGAGCATGCAGATGAGCTTCCCTGAGACGGTTCCTGACAGTTTGTGCAAATGTTGTTTGGTTATGCAAACTGATTGTTGCAGCAGCTGTCCGGATGGCTGGTCTCAGACAATCTTGGTGGTGAAGATGCTCTATGTGGAGGTCCTGGGGTGGCGTGGTTACACGTGGTCTGTGGTTGTGAGGCTGTGAGGTTGGATGTACTGTGAAATTCTCTGAAACGCCTTTGGAGACAGCTTATGGTAGAGAAATGAACATTGAGTTCACAGGCAACAGCTGTGGTGGACATTCCTGCAGTCAGCATGTCAATTGCACGCTCCCTCAAAACTTGCGACATGTGTGGCATTGTGCTGTGTGATGGAACTGCACATTTTCAAGTGGCCTTTTATTGTGGCCAAGGCAAACCTTTGTAATAAAAAAATTTTGAAAGAATAAGAGTAAATGTAAATGCTCCGTACTTGTATAGCGCCTTTCTAGTCTTTTCGACCACTCAAAGCGCTTTTACACTACATCTGTATTCACCAGTCATACACATTCATACACTGAGCCTAAGTGCTCAAACGGAAACTCATTCATACGCTGGCGGAACAGCCGCCAGGGGCAATTCGGGGTTCAGTATCTTGCCCAAGGACACTTCGACACGCAACCAGGGGGAGCCAGGGATTGAACCGACCTTCCGATTAACGGCCAACCCGCTCTACCTCCTGAGCCACAGCCGGTACAGAGTACAGGGAGATAAAAACCCAATGGAATGCTCTTTGGTCCTCTTTAATACAAATAGTTAGCAAAAACATAGGAATAAGTCATAGCTGTTGTCCCTCTACTTGGGTCTGTCCAAGTCGATTTATGCATGTCTACTTCAGGTAGGTTATCCACAGGTATGTTTAAGAGAAGGTCCAAACATTTGGACACATGAAGCTCTCTAGCCCAAGGTCGTGTTGTCAGATATTTTGTTTTATTTGACCAAAAGTCAGGTTGTAATAATGTAAAACAGATAGAAGCAGCACATCTTCCCCATGAAGTCTGCACCTCCGAGTCCCTCACCATTTTCCAGTCCCACCTTAAGGCCCATCTCTTCACCTCTGCCTATCCCTAGCAGTTTATTTATTTATTTATTTATTTTTTTTGGTCATGTTTCTTTTTCTGCTCTGTAAAGCGACTTTGAGTTCGTGAAAAGCGCTATATAAATTAAATTTATTATTATTATCCTCACTTTAGAAATGCTGGGACCAGAGAAGAATTGGCATTATTGCTTTAATCCTTAATAATGTAATCATTACATTTGCTCAAGTAGTCTTTCAGTGTTAGACAAGTTTGACTGTAATGTGGCATGTTGCCGTGAATATTTACTAGTACTGTGTACTGTCTCTGTTGTAGGTCTACAACATGTTCCTACACCGGAGTCTGGGAGTCAGGATCAACATCCGTGTCACCAAGCTGGTGTTGCTTCACAGCCGCCCAGTAAGCCTGATTTTATACCTTCTTTCAACCCTCTTTAACTCTCTGTCAACCCCAACAACCTATCAGCAGATGCTGTCCCCACCCTGTATGTGTGTATTTGTGATGAAGGTCATGCCCCTCATAAAAGAGATTCCCTTTTCAAAATCAGAAGCAGAAAATATTTATTGAGTTGAGGGGAAATTCCTTTGTCACAGTTGCTCAGCTTGCATGTCAAGATACTAAGGAACAGAAATAACAATAAAGTAGGAAATAAAATTAATATCCATCCATCCATCCATTGTCAACCACTTATCCTGCATACAGGGTCACGGGGATAAAATTAATATACAAATTTAAAACCTAAATATAAGGTAGTGTGGATATTTACATTATTTTACAGCAAACAGGAATGTAATATTTGCACTCATTTAATTAATCAAATTAGTGCAAAGATGGATATAAATATAAGGTGTGTAGATATGTATTTTACAGTATTAACAGAAGTGGCATGATAAATCATAATAGTGAATTAAATACAACTAGTAATAATGTCTATAGGCACAGTTGATGTGGATGGGTACAGTCCTAAAAACAGCAGTAGACAATGATTTTAGTCGATTATTCTACAAATTATTTCATCGATTCATCGCGTAATCGTATAAGAAGTACTTTTGCTTGGTGCACCCCTCCCTCCGGTACCTGGATCAGCTGTGTAACTCTTGGCTGTGACATTACAACACAAACTCATGGCCCAACCAGGCGGAGAATAAACAATAAACACATGTTTATACATTTACAGCTGAGAATTGCGCCTTACTTTTGCTAGCCTACAACTCAACATTTTTTTGTTTGAAAGTCAACATTATTATTTAAATATGGCCCTTATCAAACTGCAGTGTGAACTCTCCATGGCCTGAAAGTGATCCAAATGCGCAGAAGAATAACACAACGGCACACACAGCACGCTGTGGTACAGAATCCAACGAAGGTTTAAATCAAGGGAAACTGGACTTGGTTGAAGATACTAGAAGACGTTTCGTCCCTCATCCAAGGGACTTCTTCAGTTCTTAAGGAACTGATAAGAAATGGATAAATATGACCTGGATGACTGTGGTACAGAAGTAAACAAGGAGCAACAGAGGTTAGCTCACACTTCTCTTCAACTTTTTGTTCTTCCAGTGGATTTCAGGTGGAAGAAAGGGAATTTGTCAGTAGATGATAGCGAGGTAGAGAAGAAAGAGAGCCACATGTTTAATAATGGCTTTTGTGGAGCTTTTTGTTCACCTTGGCTCTGTCTGGCAGATAAACAGCTGCTTTAGATTGACACCAATGTCGCATACGAATGTCCGGACTCGCATCTCAAAAGAGGCGATTAGTATCGGATTTGGACCAAATATGAAAGTGGCCCAAATCCAAACTGGAAAAGATCGGATTCCATGTGATTTGGCCTGTTCACACTGTTATAAAAGTCACAATCGGATTTGGGTCACTTTGGCCTGCAGTCTGAATGTAGCCTAAGAGACTGTGGAAAATTAGTAAAACGTAAATTCCAATATTATCTGACCCTAAAAAGAGAAGCTACCGGAGGAGAGTCTCTGCTCCCAGCGTGACAGAGGACAGGTAGAGACAGAGCCGCACTTTCTAACCTCATGCCCTAAATATAAAACACTAAGACAAAAACACTTTGCAAACATTTCACAAATATACCCCAAATTCGAATTCATATCAGACACACAGAAACTCTCCTATTTACTGGGAGAAATGCCCAAATGTCAAATAATAGCTGCAAAATATATCTCATCATGCCATGAAGTGAGGACAACCAGTGGAAACTCAGACTGATAAATAATTGTAACAATGTTTTTAGTCTTTTTTTTTTTATGAACTAATTAATATAAAAAAATGTGTCTTGATATACACACACATTTATGGTATCTATGTTACTTAAAAAATGTTATGTTATAATAACACACACACACACACACACACACACATTACTGTGCATTTACTTAGTTAGTTTTAATTTTTTTAACACACACACATACGCTTATTGTTTTACTTATTTACAATTTATTTTTACAGAATTTTTTTATTTTATATATTTTCTATTGTTATTTTATTTTGTATTAACAAACACAAAAACTTTTGCTGTTTTATTTCCTTATGTAGCTTTGGCAGTATTGTTGCTATACATTCATGCCAATAAAGCTTCTTTGAATTTGACCGTGGGTCTTTTCGGAAACTAGACCCTCGCCACTTCCACTCCGGCACAGAGTGAACTCCCTAACCTGCGTAGGGTATAAATACAGCGACCAACATTCGGACGAACTACCCTCTCCCCAGTGTAAATAAGTTCTGATGTTACTGCTGCACTCACTGTTACAGTATGTGTATCAAATAAACAACAGTTGTATTAAGATTCAGGATTTGCAATAAAGAAACTGAAAGCATTTGTCATTTATTTTGTGCTATGAACCAAATTATTTTGGTTAGAATTTGAATATTTCTTTTAGACATTTACAGAAAAGAAATATTATATTCTTTTAAGAAAAGATTGATATTCGTTGTAAAAGAAAAGCCTTTTTATTTGAACCTCTTTATCTTTATATGAAAAATATTACATTTACAAATAAATCCTTTCAAAATAAATCAAACATTATATTGAAGCATTTTATAGGCCTAGTCTGAAGTAATTAAAACAGTTAAAATGTATAAAGACTTAAATATTTTTCTTTAATGCCTTTGTTGCTTGTTACGTGATCCCCCTTTGTATATTCTTTTGCCATGTTCTACTATTCTGTCTGATTCAATAAAAACAACAGTTGTGTTGTCTATCAGACAAGAACATGTTTTTATTGAACACAATATAACCTTTGGGCTACGATGTTAACCTGTGAATGGTGATATGAAATGTGTAGTTTTGGAATTTAAAAATCCTACATGTTAACCGGCATCGGTGCTCACTCAGCATTGTAGCGTTTAATAACCCACTTCCACTCCGTCCTCATTGGTTTCAGATGGCACTCAGTGTGGCGGACCCTCTGCATGAATGCGCAATCAGAGTAGAAGTAGGTAGGAAGAGGGAGCAGCAAGCAGTTTCTGAAAGGCCCTGTGTGTTTCAGACTCTGGGGGAGGAGGTAAAGACTTTGATGGCCACAGACAGGAATGACTTCCTGTGGCACTCTGTAGTGCATTTTGGGGGATGGTGGTGAGTTTTGCACTGAAAGTGTTTGACCAGCACGTGATGGAGTGAGTGTGTTTGTGGCTCAGCTAAAAGGATTCAGGAGCGGACACAAGGCAGAGGAATGGTAAACTCAAGCAGTTTTATTTACAAAGGAATGTGCAAGGGAAGAACTGATGAATTGGAAAGAGGGCAGGTATGAGGGGGAATCCAGGCTCAGCTTAGGATTGACAGCAGTTTCCTCAGAACACGGTTTCAAGCAGGCAGGTTCTCCAAACACTGGTGATAACTGGAACAGGCAGAGACAAAATTTTTTTGTTGCTAGTCGCAAAATCACAAGACTTGGGTTCTACTGAGTGGGCCAGAGCGTTTGTACCACAGAAGGTAAACTAACAAACTGGCCATAATAAAAGGCCACTTGAAAATGTGCAGTATAAGGGAGGTATCTGGTGTGACCACCATTTGCCTCATGCAGTGCAACACATGTTCGCATAGAGTTGATCAGGTTTTTGATTGTGGCCTGTGGAATGTTGGTCCACTCTTCTTCAATGGATGGGCGAAGTTGCTGGATATTGGCAGGACCTGGAACACGCTGTTGTATATGCCGATCCAGAGCAACCCAAACTCAAATGCTCAATGGGTGACATGTCCGGTGAGTGTGCTGGCCATGCAAGAACTGGGATGTTTTCAGCTTTCAGGATTGTGTGCAGATCCTTGCAACATGGGGCAGTGCATTATCATGCTGCAATATGAGGTGATAGTCGTCGGGTTGATCAGAAGTTGCTATATTTATTGTAAAACTAGCCTCAGAGCAATGTTTTTGATTATAATAGCAAAGTAACTTTTAAAAAAAGGTTCCTATATTTATAATTTATAACACAATATTGACACATTTTACTCATGCTCATACTAAAAAATCCATTATATGTACTAGATATATGTTTTAACCGAGTACTCGCACATCCCTTGTTAATTGTTGTTAAATACAATGTAAATATCAACTATTTCATTTTTGTGAATGTCTCACAAGCCATGATAAATCTACTTTCAACTATTTGCCTGTTTGTTAGCATTAAAAATAATAAACAGTGTGGGTTAGTTTGACCCATAACACAATGGATGTAAAAAAACAAAAAAAAATTCAACGTAAAAGCAGGGTTAAATCAAAAGGAGACAAAGTAGGAGAGGATGAAGTAATCACTTCTGTATCTGTTCTTCAGGAAAAGCTAAAGGTGGGCCATCATGGAGAAAGGTCTCTACAGAGCTTCTGTCACTGGCAGTATCAAGAGTTTGGGGGGCCACGATACCTTGGCACCAACCATGTTCCTGGTGGAAGAGATGACATCCCACCAGTGGACACTGCTGTGCTGGTCACCAGGTATGTAGCTAGCACAGATGAATGAATGTGTTTGGCTGGGGTTGAGCTTTCTGACTCAAGTGCAGAACTTAAACTTAGAGACGGGGGCTTGATGAAGCAAGCGTGCGTACGCAGGAGTGGAGCGGTAGCAGAAGACAGAGCAGGTGGGGAGATCTGTGTCACAGGAGAACAGAGTTAACAAGGTTGCAGGCACAATAACTAGTCTTAGTCTAGATGGCTTGAACGTGACTGACTGGGAATGTGAGTCTATGATCTGGCGCTGAGTGGAGGCAAGGACCTTGTATACGAAGCAGAGCATAATGAAGCTGATGGCTGGCAGCTGGTAACCGTCTCCTGCACATTTGACTTCACTCCTGCAAAAAGGCACACAGGGGAAGGGGGGGGAGACACACACACACACACACACACACAGAATCCCATACCTAGGAATAGGTGACCTGACAGTACTCCTCCCCTTGGGCAGAGTAGGGGGCTGTTGGGAGGGCTCAGGTAACTGGAGGACATGGGCTTGATCTGGGATACATGGAAAGTGGGGTGAATATGGAGAGATTCAGGCAGCCTTAGACGAACGGCACAAGGGTTAACGATATATAGGATCTCAAAGGAACCAATGAAGTGGGGGCCCAATTTCTTGGGCTCTACTTTTTGGGAGACATTTTTGGCATTCAGCCAGACCCTTTGACCCGGCGTGTAGCTAGGGGCTGGTTTGCGGCGTTGGATTGCTTGTACTTGCATCTTTGCGGAAGCGTGAACTTGGGCAGTCCTGGTCCTTTTCCAGATCCTAAAGCAACGGCACATGAAGTCCAGAGTTCTTTTAGCGCTGGGATGGCAGGTAAGGCTGGTAGAGTGAGCCCACTGGAGAATCTGCGAGCGGACAGAAACTAGGACAAACATCCTGTTAGGGGGGCCATTAGCTGAGTCGGCCTGTTGGTCCTGGGCCTGCCTGACAATGGTCTCAATATCGCAGGTAACAGCTGCCACAAAGCGTGTGGCTGGGAGGATGCTGATGGGATCTGGATTGGTGTCGTCCGCAGAGAACACTCTAGAGAGGGCATCAGGCTTGGTATTACGAGAACTGGGGCGGTAAGACAGAATGCAATTAAATTGATCAAAGAATAGAGCCCACCTGGCCTGCCTGGAGTTCAGTCATTTCGCAGATTGGATGTAAGTTTTTTGTGGTCGGTCCGCACAAGAAAGGGGTGTTCAGCTCCCTCCAATCAGTGGCGCCATTCTTCCAGTGCTGATTTAACAGCAAGCAGCTCACGGTTGCCAAAGTCATAATTTCTCTCTGCTGGGGAAAGTCTGCGGGAGAGTTAAGCACAGGGATGGACTTTGTCATTACATTCAGCCCGCTGGGAAAGCACTGCACCTACTCCAGTATCCGTTGCGTTCACCTCAACAATGAATTGGCGACTGAGTCGAGTTAAACCAACACGGGAGCTGAGGCGAAGCGTTGTTTGAGTTCCTGGAATGCGGCCTCGGCCTCCTTGGTCCAGGAAAAGGGGACAGAGGATGAGGATAGAGCAGTGAGGGGGCAGCAATGCGACTGTAGCTCTGAATAAACCTTCTGTAGAAGTTTTCAGACCCCAAAAAACGCTGTAACTGTTTGTGTGAGGATGGCTTGAGCCAATCGGTTACAGCTGAGACTTAGGCTGGGTCCATCCTCATTTTTTCATGCGCAATAATGAAAGACTTCAAGCAGATCAGGATGACATCTAGGTATACGAACACAAGTCTGTTTAGCATGTCTCTAAGCATGTCATTCACAAGGGCCTGGAAAACGGCTGGGGCATTTGACAGACCACAAGGCTAAATACTCAAAATGTCCAAGCGGAGTGTTGAATGCGGCCTTCCATTCGTCTCACAAACGCGGACAAGGTGACAAGCATTACGCAGGTCTAGTTTGTGAACACGGTGGCCCCGTCAAGTGAAGCAAAGGCAGAGTCTATTAAGGGCAAATGATACATACTATATTTTACTGTAACGTTGGCCACGATAATCTATACATGGCCGGAGCGTGCCGTCTTTCTTATCCACAAAATAGAACCCTGCTCCTACTGGTGAGATGGATGGATTATACCTGCTGCCAGAGAGCCCTGTATAAACTTCTCCATGGCCTTGTGCTCCGGGCGCGAAAGATTGTACAGCCTGCTGCAGGGAAGCGGAGATCCGGGAAGAAGGTCGATGGCTCAGTCATAGGGGTGGTATGGTGGCAAAGACAGGGCCTTTAGATAGGTAGATAGACGTTTTTGTCATTGTATATAAAATAAAACGAAATGCAGTTTAGAGCAAACAATTGAACATAGCAGCTTTAAAGTCTCATATATAAATAAATAAGCCATAAAAGGATTGCATGAAATAATAAAATGAAGCAATATAACATACATTTAAATGCATAAGCAATATTAACATTAAAAACTAAGTGTTCCAGCAATTACATAAAGTGCAGTCAGTGTGTGTTAAGCACAGTTTTGCATCACATGATCGACATTCAAAATTTCAGCAGCATGTCCACATCTCTCCGGAAAGAACTGTTCTTTAGACGGTTTGTCGTGGTCCTGATAACCTTGAGCCTGCCTGAAGGAAGATTGCTAAATAGATGGTGACCTTGGTCTGAAGGGTCTCTGTTGATGTTCCTGGCATGTCTGAGAAGATCGCTAGAGTGGATATCATTCAGATGGAGAAGAGGGGTACTGACGATCCACTAAGCAGTCTTCATCACCCTTTGTAGATCCTTCCTTTCTTCTGCTGTGCAGCTTGAGTACCACACTGTACAGCAGTATGTCAGGACATTCTCAATTGTACATTGGTCGAAATTTTCAGGAGTTAATGGGGCGTTTTAAGCGTCCGAGTGTACGAAGGAAGAAAAGGTATTGCTGGGCCTTCTTCACCAAACACGCTGTGTTCACTTTCCAAGTGGGGTCCTCATAAGTGTACCACAAGATATCTGAAACTAGGCATTAGCTCAGCCTCCTCCTCATTTATGTATACTCCCGCATGCACTCTCTTACTCTTCCTAAAGTCAATCACCAGAATCAGGTCATTGACTTTGCACCATCCAGTTTCTGGTGGTTGTATAACTTTGATCGATTACAATTGTTTGCCAAATAATTTATGTTCATTTGACTATGATCATCTGAAAATTTTGTTTTTTCTTTCACCATATTTTACTCCTCTTTGTATTGTCATTGACTTTATGCCCCTTTCTTTTTGTGCACAGTTATCAAGTAAAGGCCAATTTATACTTCTGTGTCGAGTTGCCGTAGCCTATGTGAGTATAAATAACTTTGCGTTTATGTCTGCCTTGCTCTGCAAAAATAAAAAATAAATTTAAAAAATAAAATTAACTACAAATAATGGCTACTGAAACTGAGTGGCTCACGTTGGAGTTGGAGCTGATTGATGTTGAATAGTAGCTACTTTAAGTGAAATTACTAAAACGCAGAAACGAGAGAAAGCGTAGCAGGAGATGATATGTATGATATGTTAAATCGGATGAGGCAAAAGAAGTAGTAAATGTGATGCTACCAAGCTGACCAATCAGTTCTTGCCATCTGTGTCGCGTAGTTAAATTTTTTGGGGAGGTGTGTGTCAGGCTACAGCTTGATGCAATGCATGTCCCTGCTAATACAAATACAGCAAAAGATTTGTCAAGTAAGGAGGGGAAGAGGAAACAACCAAGGCTGTGATTTCAATTGTGCACCCCAATTGATTGTCCCTGATATTCAGTCAAAAGAAGACATTATTTCTCATAGCCTTGCAAATGTGACAGGCTTTATATCATAGTCTTAAAATGTGGTACCCCCTGAACTAGGACACAGCCCTTGGCCTTAAATCCCTGTCCTGTTCGTGACACTGTGGAGTCCAATGTCTAATCACTCCTTCCTCAGTCTGCTTGTTCTCTATCCTCATGCTTCAGCGTCTGGCACAACATGACGCATTCCTAATTTAGGATTAGCTATTATTACCTGTTGTAACTCCAGGGAGGGAGAGTGAGGGTAAAAGAAATCCTTTTGTTTAAATTAGTACTGATTCTATCCTGTCTAATGGAGTGGGAGGAGAGCATCAATACAGTTGCCTTTTGTTCTTGAGGTGGTTTGTTATAAACCTGATCTGCCCCCTCAGGTTCTTGCGCATGGTCGCTCAGCGGCGTTTGTGAGTGAGTATGTGTGTGGCTGTATTGCTCTACTGTAGCTAGCGCACAGCTCATGTGGAGGACACGCCTGCAGTATGTCTATTACAGTTTATTAACAGCCTCTTAGGAGGAGATAACAAGATATTTGATATCTGGGCCTCTGGATAATTTCATGTCACTCACATAGAATGTATAGATACCAGGCTACACAAGATCAGAGGTGTGCTGCTTGAAAAAGCTTTCAGAACAAAATACCTCAGACTTGGTTGAATGAAAGGCTGGCATTTTTGATAAGTATTAAAAAATCCAATGTATTTATTGAATGTTGTCGAAGCAGCAACACATTCACACTGGGAACTGCTCAGTACAACCTCTGTGTCACTGATGGACACTGGGATCAAGTGTTAGGAAATACTTCCCTACACTTTTCACCAGAGCTGAAATCATTATCTGCTTAATTGGCTTGTCAATTGAAAGAAAATTTATCAGCACTATTTTGAAAATTAATGTATAATATTTTATAATAATTATTATTTATTTCCCTTTTCTTGGTTTTGTATTATACAGAATTGAATATGTTTGATTTTGAGTGTATTAAGATGAGAGCAAAACTTTGAGAGGTTGAGACTAGGTCCAAGTCAAGACCAGGACCAGTGCCCCACACTGCATGACACATCATAAAATGTGCAACATGCAAATCATAGGCACTTGTCAAATTGATCTCAAGGATTCTCCACATTCCCTTAAAATATCCACATACCAATACTAACAGGTGAAATCAACTTAACAATCTTTATTCAATACTCCTTTTTCATGTTTTACCATCCATCTAACAAAATAAAATGTTAGCCTCCAAGCATTTGGT